CCCCAAAACCCCAAAACCCCAAAACCCCATAGAGCTACAATTTCACAATTTAAGTTAGAACTAGAATTAATGTATAATTATATAAATTACAAATGGAAGATTAAATTGAGAGGAAATTTATATACAAACATAAAAATCTCGATACTACTGCCTCTTTAAATAAAGATTTATTTTAAATTCCAAAGCATATAAATCAGGTTAAAACTGATATAGAAAAAATAAGAGCAGTTATAGATGAACTTAAGTCAGTAAGGAATATCAAAGAAGAAGAGATTAGAAATCAGACAAATGACATAAATAGACAAATTAGAATAATCTAAGCTCTCAATGAAGAACTAAAAAACTCAATTGTAGCTTAGGATTAATCACAAGAACAAATTGATACTAGCCACTTTTGTGAAACTTGCAATTCTAATACACATTGCTATGACTGCTGCTATGAAACATAAAAAAGATTAGGAAAGAAGCATTGCAAGAAATGTAATTAGTTAGGTCATGGCGAAAATTGTTGCAAATTCTACAGTGTTAATTTAAATGAAGAAAGAAAAAGTTAGAGAAAAATGGTAGTAGATGTATTCCAAAATCCACTAGGAGGATTTGAAAGTGATGATTATGATGAATATGAAGAAAATGTCAATAATTACATCAAGAGATAAGAGGCCTTGAATGATTTGGAAGTAAAAGCAAAATCAGATAGAATATTGCTTAATTAATAACTCTGCTACAGATTGACAGAAATTTTAAAATAAATGGATCTTGAGGAGTATGAGAAACTAGCATTTGATAATTGCCAGCGATTAACAATTGCTAGTGCTAACTTTGTTTATTAGGGACTTGCTAAATACATCGAAGAAAAGGATGAAAGATTGTATTTCCAAATAGTTAAGGCAAGTCTCAAAGATAAAGAACTTATTACTTATGCTCTATAAAGTACTAAAGGTATAGGATCCCTGTATATTGAAGCTACGGAATTTGTTTATGTTAGCTTTTGGGTGTCTGTATATAAGATAGACAATCCCCATCTTCAAATTGAGACACTTAAAGAGCAGGAATATTCAAGAGCAATAGGTGAACATTGGGTCTATGAGGAAAGAAAACACAGAAACTATTTCTTCTATCTAAATTATTGATAGAGCAAATTATTTCTGAATTTATTATCTTATGATTGTTCCGTTCTCCTAAATTTTGAATTGAGGGGTTTTGGGGTTTTGGGGAGATCGGAAGAGCACACGT